GCCCTTGTCAGTCTCATCTTTTGCAAATATTCCTCCCATTCAATAGGTTGTCCTTTTATTTCGCTTATGGTTCAGTTGTTGTGCAAAAGCTGTTAAGCTTAATCAGGTCCCATCTGTTTATTTTTGCTTTTATTTCTGTTGCCTGGGTAGACTGCCCTAGGAGAACGCTGCTGAGATTTATGTTAGTGTTTTGCCTACGTTTTCTTCTACGAGGTGTATAGTCTTTAAGCCATTTTGAGTTTATTTTTGTGCCTAGTGTGAGGGAGTTGAACCCTGTTTTCAAGGAGCACAAAATTATGGTCCTAATGTTGTCACAGCTGTTTGTTACACAACTAAGGACTACACAGCTGACCGTGTATATGACTTGGGGTTCATAGGGAGGTACTGATGACATGAGAATTTATTATATGACTTGCTGCTTTTTCTGCAATGAAAATGAGATGACTGCTTCAAAGACTGGATCAAAATTATTACTATTATTTTATGCTTAAAATACTTCAACTTAAAAAAGTAGTGACTTTTTTAAAAATTTAAAATCCAAAGATGAAAATACCAAATAAAGCTGCCATAAAGTACACATAATTTTTCAGCAGACAAATTCTATACTTAGGAATATGTACATCTGTGACAAAGTTGTTGAACCCCTCACTCACTTGCACTGACATCACCTTTGAGTACTTTCGCCGTGGTTTACAGAGACCTCTGCGTTTGTTACAGGTTCTCACGCTTTATGAGCATCTCTTTGAGAACAGGGGCAATTTATTTCTACTCAGATGGTTGGAAAGAATGTGTAGGATTTTTAGGTTTTCTATCTGCTGAGTTTTGCAAATACTAACTGAAATGCCTTTCATCTCAGAGCCAAGCACAAACTGGTGTTCAAGGTGAGAAAAGGAGCAAAAAATGCCAACAAGTAGGATTTTCCACTCAATCAAAAATCTACTGTATCTAATAGTATCTTCAGATAAATTATGGAGAAAACTTTGGCGTTTTCAGTGATAAATCTACTCATGTCAAGGAATTTCTTTTCTGTCAACTTTATTTAAATCCAAACATATATCCAAAGTATCTTAAATTCTTTCCAAATGTGGTTAACTGTTTTTGTGTACGTATATGTGTTTTGTGTGCTCACAAAATGGTTTTAGAAGCATGACTGGCTCTCGACCTGATGGAGGAGAGGAGGCTGATAGGCGTGCAGACCCCAGGTTGGGGGACCCCTCCTTCCTGCCCTGCACAGGAGGTTGAGCACATAGGGGGATTCTTCAGAGAGCAAGGGGCTCTGTCCTCCCATATTACAGACAACCTCCATCCAGCAGGCCTGATAGAGCTCTCATTCCTCCTGCCTCGTACATACACCAAACAGACTGCCCTGAGACCCATCTCGGGGCTTGCGATAGGCTTTTGGGGTTTTCTGTCTAATGGGAAGTGATGGGCGCATGCAGCTTTTAGTACCCAGGTACCATAATTGATGCAGTGTGTGTAATTCATCTTGACAGACCTTTCTGATGTAATGCCCGTGCAGAAGCGTACTAATGATAGCAGTGGTGGGTTTGAAATGTGCTTCCAAAGGACTGGACAGGTTTTCAAATACATAAAACCTTTTAGGTGTAGGCAGATTAGTAATAAAAACCCATTCTTCATGAATGAGACCTGTCCGAAGGCTTCCCATGAGCCAAGCACCGGGGATGTGAGGGTGGGCCGGGCTCTGTCTCCCCCTCCTCCCACAGCTTAGAGGGTGGGGCACAGGATAAGCATGTGGGTGCGGCGGCTATTCCTGTGACCCATGAAGCAGAAAAGAGAGGGGCCATGATTCGGTCTCGGGGGCCCATGGGGAAGCCTTCATGAACAGGTGAAGAACTTACCTTTGGCTGAGTTAAGAAACCTCACAAGCCAGCCCTGCCCATGACATGCTGATGTATATGTGACCTCTTAGTAACCACGAGTCGGATGGGACCAGCTCTCTTGGTTCAACGGTGTACACAAGAGGGTATGTAACTCATCATATCTCTGCACCGCAGCCGAAGCTGGGACATCTGAGGTCCTGCGGGGGCTCCTGACAGCCCCGACCCAGCTCCTGCTGGCCTCCTGCCCCACAGCTCCCCCAATGCTCCTGGGCCAGAGAGCACTTCTGTTCAGCCTCCTGATCCCCGAGCCCACGGCAGCCTCAGCCCCTGCGGAGGGGTCCCAGGCTCTCCCACTAACCGTGCAGATTCCCGCCCACCTGGGATACAGCCCAGCACCGGCCCCGCCTCGGTCACCGCGCTCCTGTCTCCTCCCTTACGCATGACGGCAGGCCCACCGTGTCACCGTGTCCCCGCAGGTGGCGGAGAACCAGCAGCTGTTCTGCGCACTCAGGGCCCTGCTGGAGGACCTGCGCTCCGAGCTGCGGGAGGACGCGCGTGCCCGGTGGCGGCTGCAGCAACAGTATGCGCGCGACAAGGCGGCCTGGGACGTGGAGTGGGCGGCGCTCACCTGCCGCCTGGAGCAGGTATGACCCCGGGGGACGAGGCGGGCAGAGTCCCGGATCACAGGGCCCCTAGCCGGGGACACCATCCCCGCCCAGGAGCGTTTCAGAAGCAGCATTTATCTTCCCATTCTGCCTTGAACAGAGCTGTCTATTTTTATTGTTCAATTTACTTAAACTAAAAACAGAAAGAGTTCACCCATTCCCAGTCCCCTTCTCCCCTGCAACCATCAATCTCTTCTGTGTATCTGTGAGCTTGGCTTCATCTATGTGTTTATTTTTAGATTCCACATACACATGAGATCTTACAATATTTCTCGCTCTGACTTACTTCACTTAGCATAACGCCCTCAAGGTCTATCCATCCATGTTGTAACAAATGGTGAAATTTCGTTCTCTTTCATGGCTGAGTAGTATTCCGTGGTGTATACACCACACTGTCCTTATCCGGCCATCCTACGATGAACACTTGGGCTGCGTCTCTTCTTGACTACTGTAAACAATGCTGCAGTGAGCGTGGGGGTGGAGAGAAATACGTTTCCAAGGAAGTGTTTTCCTTTTCCTCAGAAAAGATGCTCTACATTATATTAATCATCAGGGAAATGCAAACCAAAACCACAGTGAGATGTCACCAGGCACCTGCCGGAATGGCCCTTAGAAGCAAGACTGGAAATAGCAAAGTGTGGTGAGGACATGCGGCGAAGAGAGGAGGCTATCTCGGGCTCCCCTGAAGCACGGCCGTCAGACAGACAGGAGCACGGGAGGAGCAGGCTGTGGTTCAGCTGCCCTTTCCACTGGATATCCCCAAAGACTAGAAAGAGCTTGTAGACCTCCCCACTGTGCCATGGAAATCTAATCAACGTCCTTACTTACACCGAGGGAAACTGAGGCCCAGAGGAAGTAGTGGGCTCTGCTCTCTGAGCCTTTGGAGCGTGAGTGCAGCGGAGAGCGCGTCCCTGCCCCCACTGCCCTCGGCGCGACAGAGCAGAGCCTCACGGAGACTTCAGACCCTGGCTGCTTTCTCTCTGAAAATCTTTAAAAGCAGTGTCACTTCCTGCGTAGTGTCTGTTTGCCCAGATTGCTTCTGCTGGTTTCTTCCAGCCCCTTGATCGTGATGAGGGAGGAAAGGTCTGTGCATCTTTGATCATCTATTTTCTAGGCCCTTTTTTGAGGGAGACTGTAAAGTCATTAAAATTTCACGTGAATTGGCTCAGTCGGGAAAGAAAAAACTTGCCCAGAAAGGAGACATTTTCTAAATGGCCCTGATACAAGATGAAAGGGCCTGTCGTGTCAAAGGAGGACAGCTCTCCCCTACCCGCAACCTCACGTGCATCGCCGTCTGGCCACAGGGGCAGTGCTGTCAGGACCACGGCCCTGGGTGGAGCAGACGCACAGTGTCGCCTGCAGAAGCGGCAGCAGAGCCACAGCTAAACCAGAGCCCCGGGCCAGGCTGGTCAAACGATGTTAGGAATTCCATCTCCTGGTTGGGGGGAGGCTCCTACTAGGTGCCGTTTACCTCAGTTCACAGCCTGAAGAGTCAGCAGTGGAGGAGACCTGAGTCAGGACGCTCTGATGAGCTGCCTCTAAACTCAGAGAAGTATGTTTGGGGGGACAAAGCTAAATATTTGCAGAGATGTAAGTGTAGCTAAAGAAAGGAGACAGAATCTTTGACGTGAGCCAGTTTCAAAACATTTCATCTTTGTTTTAGAGGAACCTGGTATCCACCCACATAGTTGCTACAAATAAAGCTTTGGGGAGAATCACTAAACACCGAGAAATAAAGCTAGGACTTCAAACCCAGAAGCCAGAAGTGGTACTAAGTAAAGATTTCATCTTCTGCCCAAATTGTTTTAAGAGTTTGTCAAATATTTGCAGCCCAGAAAACAACGAATGGGGGCTGATGCCGATTCATGTATAATAACTCCATCTTTACCCTTTTCTACTTATGTGCAAAACAGTTGAATTCTACCAAAAAAGGAGTATTTTCCTTTCAGAGGTGGAGGCCATACTGGGTCATTTCCCAAATCTGGGATCCCTTCAACTGGCCCCTAAGTCAGACCTTGTTCCAACTGCCCAGGAATCCCCAACAAATAAAGTCCTGCTTAGAATGAATCTCAGAGGATGAACAGGAGGGGGTGCATAGAAAGGGGAGAGGGTGTGTCAGACAAAAATAGCACGTCGAGCTGGGCACATCGGAGGGAAAAGAAGAACTGAAATATGAGTCCTGATTTTGTACTGGGAGTAAAGAATTTTGATTTGCATTTTAAAGAAGTTATTCTGGCCATCAAGGTAGAAAATGGATTAGAACCCATTAGGACTGAGTAGATTAACACATGTCCATGGATAGATTCAGGGATCTGCTGAACTAACGCAGCAAAATGATTCCTCATCATGTTCACCAGTCTTGCACTAAAATGTATCATGTTGGACAACATGCAGCTACTCGCAGTTCCCCCTCCTGTCCTCGGTGCTGCTGGGGCACAGTTTACTCCTCTGTGTTCTGTGAACACAATACGTTGCAACTGTGTTTACTTTAGACACTCAGTAATATTTTAAAGCAACTAAAAACTGGGGAAAGTGACTTTTATATTCAGTTATTTAGATCATTCCCAGTGTTCTTCATTTTTTGATCAAAGTGTGTGTTGGTGTCATGTTCCTTCTTACTGAAGACGTCCTCTATCATTTCTTGAAATGCAAGTCTTCTGGCAATAGTTTTTTGTTTGTTTTTTTAAAATTTTCTTTTGTTGAGAAAGTCATTTTCCCTTTATTTTTGAAAGATGCTGCTGCTAAGTACAGAATTCTGTCAAGGCTGGCTTTCTCGCCCTTTAGCCCTTCCGAGGGGTGCTCCACTGTGCCCTGACCTGCGTGGTTTCTGAGCAGATGTCTGCTGTGTGCTCGGCATGTGCTGTCGTCCTGTCTGCCTCTACAGCTTCCTCTTTGGTTCTCAGCAGTTTGCATGGGATGCGCAGATGGGAGTTTCTGTTTGTCTGTCTGTTTTTGGTATTCAGCCTCCCGGGCATTTGACGTGCGTCTGTTGTAGACCACGCATTTCCATCGCTGCCCCATCACTAGGCTCCACTGGGGACTGAGGATACAGGGACAGACAAGGGCCTGCTCTCAGGGGCTGTGCAGCAGGATGGGAAGGAGGGCAAGGAGCACACAGACTCTGTCAGAGGTTCACCCTCAGGGCTTTAAAGATGAAACCTTTCCTCCATAAGATCAGTCGCATGTCGGCTTACACCCGCTCCAGGGCCAGCACCTGTGTGTGCAGGGCTGTGGGCCACCTCCTGATGTGCGGCTGCGGGGCTGTGTTTCTGAGTCTGCTGTCCTTGACAGAGCGACCTGAGCCTGGGGGACATGGGCGCCCCCGCCGACAGCAAAGAAGCTCTCCGGAAGGAGAGGGAGGCGCACCAGAAGCTGCTGGCGGACAGTCACGGGCTGGTCATGGACCTGCGCCAGCAGATGCACCACAGCGAGAAGAACTGGAACCGGGAGAAGCTGGAGCTTCTTGAGCGGCTGGACCGGGAGCGGCAGGCGTGGGAGCGGCAGGAGGAGGAGCTGCGCTGGACGATCCGGCAGGTGAGGGGGCGCGGGGGGACCACCGATCTGACCTGGGAGTCAAGTCAGGGCACTCAGGGCTCTGCCGCACCAGGCCGATTTCGGGGCCACCAGAGGAAGAGGAGGACCTAGGGTTACCCGGGTCTTTTCATCACAGGTCTGTAGGGAACCACGCGCGTGCGCGCGGTGTGTGTATGGTCAGGGGTAGAGGATAACATTTTAAAGGAATTTAAAGACTAAACTTGAAAGATGAGGTTATTTCAGGTCTTAGAAATTGAATTCTGCTAGAAAGCAAACTAACTTTTAAGTGCACCACTAACAAAGTGGGCACGGTGACTGCTGCAGCTGGAACGGACCGTTAGTGAGGAAATTGCTGAGCTAAGTTGCAAGTCGGACTGTTTGCACCTGCCGTGGGTACTGCTGAGCTGTGATTAGACAGGACCATAGTCCGGGGAGGGAACTGGAAGTTTATCGTCTTGAACTACAAAAACAATTGAGAAACGCAGACGCGTTCTGGGAGAGGGAGCTTGTTTTTGCACAGCCCAGATAACTGTTCTCTGCGTTTCGTCAGACTCGGGACGACCTGCGTACCACAGCCTGCATGATGCACAGATTAAATTCTCACATTAATGATGAAGGATTAGGATTCCGCCCTAGCGGGATTTTTACATAGGAATAATTTTATTTATCTCAGCCTGTCACACTTATAAACTCATGAGGCCTCAAGGTAATGTCTCAATCACTAAGAAACTGAACTCAGGATAAGAACTTCATTACTGGTACAGATACCCACACTGCCTTCAGCTACACAGGAGCCTTTTAGAAAAACGTGCTGTCATTCCCGGGACATGGTCCCTGTGTTCTGCATACTATTGGGGAGAGAGGGAAGAACTGAAAAAGACCAGGAGCCTTGAGCTCCGACACGCCTGGAAAGAAGCAAGTGCCCTGAAGCTGAAGAGGCACTGACGTCCTTCCTGGGTTCGGTGACTCACATGGTGAGTCACTGGACTGACGGGTGATATGGCTCATTTTAAAATTCCCCAAATTCTACTGAAGGAAAGTTGGCCACTTCCTGTTTGGCCTAAAAACATGGCACTTGAAAAGAATTTTCTGACCATTAGTTACTCCAGGCACCTCATTACCGGGCCGGCCCCCCACCGGGCTCCCTGCCCGGACCACTCACTGTCCCTCCTGTCCCTTGGGAAGGTCGTCGTCATCACCGTCCCCTCTGCCTGTGAGCTGTAGGCTTGCTGGTCTTGTCATGGCTTCATTTGGGAAGTCACATCTTCGGTAGAAGTTAAACAAGTCCTTTCGGGTTTTATTTTACTTTGGGAATGAAGAATGTCTAGTAGAGGAGAAATGAGGAAGACATCCGATGATGTTCAACTTTTGAAGAGTTAACACCCTAGAGATGAGCACCCGCCTCATTTTAAGACTGTTTTTGGGAAAAGTAAGAGCTGAACCCCATTTCCACATGGTCACTGCCACCCCAGCTGCATCCTCAGTCAAGGTTACCATCTTTGAGCAAAATGGATCTGACACACGAGTGTTCTGGACGTGCATCTGGTCCTGAAATCTGTATGGTGGATCCCACGGGGCTTTGTGCAGTGATTTCACTGCTGTTTTTAGAAGGTTTGCTGTCAGTGAATGATGCTGCAGATATGCAGCTGTGCCTTCAAAAATAAATCCAGCCTTTCCCCCAAAATACTTGACACTTTAAAAATCACAGTACTGAATCCTGAAGATTAGGAAAAGCGGTTGTAGGCATTCTCTGTAAAGGAGGACGCTGGCTGAAGTGTGTACGGGTGTGTGTAGATTTTGCTGGTATCAGTTAGTGGGCTGTCAGTTCACTTCGCTCTCAGCCGCATGCCCCATAGGTAACAAGCGCGGTCGGCGGGCCCTCCTAGTAACATGCGCCCTCGATGTCTGATTGCACGGTGGGCGTGTAACCTTCCCTGTGATGACCTCATGCAGACGGTGGGAGCAGTAACACTAAATCCATTTTCCACTTGCAGAACACATGCTTCATACTTGTCCTGTGTCACTGAATTCCTCCATAATTTGTGCCACACAAGGCATTTCAGATGACAAATGATTGTGGGAATGTGTGAGGTCAGGTGACACAGACCTGACTGGTGACAGTTAACTTCCTGGAGTCACACAGCACTTCTCTGTGGAATCGTTCTGTTCCCAGTGTACCTGCCAGGACCCTAGGACGTGTGCTGATTAGACTAAAGGGAAACTCAAACGTTGCTCCAGTCCCCTCTAACTCCCTTAGAGCAGTTACCTCTCCAGCCTGAAAGGCTGTTCTTTTAAAATCTGTGCACAAAGTCACCTTTTTCTTGTGACCAATTCAGGTAAGGTGACACTCTCAAGGGTTTACTGTTCCCTGTATTATTTGAAATGCAGATCTTAAATGTGGCATCTGCATGACAAGTTGTTCTGCTGCGGGACTCTGAGCTCGGAGGCACTGACGTCTAGTCTGAAATGACTCCCGGGAAGCCCTGCCCATCTGAGGCCCCATATTCTGTTACAGCAGCCCGTAGGCACCTTAGAAGCAGCTACCTCCAGCTCAAACCGCCATGGTTCATCTGTAGGGAATCTAAGGCTCACCAGCTATGGTGCGCACTGTTCCTGGCTGCCCGGGTTTATTCTGGAAACCCCGCTTTACTGAGTTAGAACGCTTGTTCGTAGCTCTTCTCTGTAGTCCCCCCTCCCACCCCCTCCATGTACACTGACAGCTTCACGTGTGATTCCTGCATTTTAATTCTCTGCCCAGAGTAGCTTGGAGATGATCACGTGTTGAAACTAAACTGCACTGACATGTATTAGATGAATGTAATAAGCTTTCCTTTTCATGCTTCCTCAAGGAAGCATTTAGCATCTTTAAGAGAACTGTGCTATGGGGGGTGGCAGGGCAGAGAGGGCTGAGCCAAACCCAGGATGACTTGCTTGTTCCTCATTTAGCTGTGAGCCTAACAGTTCAGCTCTGGCTGCTTCAGTCGCCACCTTCCTCATAAATGGAAGATCGCACTAGGAGTGAGTCAGAGTCTTCTGTCCCCGCACGGCTCTGTTCCTGGTTACACTGGCGGCGCCGACCCAGCCGATGGAGGGCGGCCCACGTTAGGACAGAGGTGTGGCTGCTGAAAGACGCTTCGTTGAAGCGGAAACCAAGGCGCTTCCAAGGGAGGCTGAGAACTTGCTGGCATCGTCTCAGCCTTGAGCACTGGAAGTCTTTCCCCTGCCACCCTGTGAGGACAAGGCCTGACGTCTGTTTAGTCATTCAGATAATTTACTTACTCAGAGGGCAGCCAGCACAGGTCACCCAGTAGGGGCCCATCACTGGTGCTGTCTGCTCCTGTTCTGGGAGGCAGGGAGGGGAGCCCCGGAGGGTCCAGGGGCAGCAGCCCCCAGGCTCCTCAGAGGATAGTGCGCCGCCCCCCACGTGTGTCCCTGTGGTTTCACCCAAGCTTCTTCTTAAAGCCCCCCCCCCCAGGTCTAGGTCTGGTTCTGGTTCTGTGAAGAGACAAGGCATTTATCCGGCCGAGGAACCGGGCAGGCCTGAGAGGAGTCGGCAGTGGTTCTGCCGACAGCGAGCCTCACCGGGCCAGCCCTGCAGCCCTCTCTGCTCCTATCTTACAGGTGGGGAGAGTGAGCTGCGCAGAGTCAGCAACCTGACACCTGCCTGGACCAGACACACAGGGGCTCCAGCTCAGGGCTGCAGACTTGGCCCTGGGATTGACCAAGTCAGGGGAAAGTAGGGCTGTGAACAGCTGTGTGGCTTGAGTTTTTGTTTCTTTCTCCAATTATCCTAGACCTTTAATTACCTCTATAGCTAAACTGTAATCCTGTCAGGCAGAGTGTAAGTTGTTTTCGACCCTTGCTGGTTATAGCCCCAGTAGCTCCTTCAGGATCTGTACAGGACGCATCCCAAATGATGTGGAGACCGCACTGTTGTTAGGAAACCTGGGTAGGAAAATCAGGCTCGCCCTCAGAAGTTTGCTATCACTGACGGTTTTCCAAGTGTGCCTTAAATTCTGAAGGAAATTACAAAGAAAGGGAGTTCTAACTATGTCACTTGGCAATGTTAAGATCGAAAAAAAGGGAAACGTGCAATTTCCCACGAGCACAGTACTCAGAGTTAAACGCACAGTAACATACATGTTCTCATCAGGAGTTGGCCTGTGCGTGGTCAGTGCAGGTTGTCCCCGTCCAGATTTCTCTGTAAAGCATTTGTAATGTGTTATTTTTGAAATTATGGTCAGAACTCTAAGAACATTTACTTTTCACTGTCATGGATGAACCACATATGATTCCAGATTTTGGAGAAACCATGATCTTAGGGGGCAACAGTAAACAATGAAGCTAATTGTTTCCATTTTGAAAACCCTCAAGTTGCAGAAAGAAAACAGTCCGTGGAGAGGCAGCAGTTTCCTCTGTGATCAGAACGAAGGTGACCTCAGCCCCCGTGCCCACCCAGGGGGGCCCCGGGCGCCCCGCCCCGCGGGGACCTGGCCCTGTGCGGACACCGACTCCACGCCCTTCCAAGACCGGCCACTGGCCAAGCTGAAGGAATCAGACAGGTGCTCAGCCCGGGAGAACCTCTACCTGGATGCCCTGTCCCTGGACGAGGAGCCAGAGGAGTCTCTGGCCCGCGGGCCGCAGAGGGAGCTCAGGACCTGCTTCCCCAAGGTCAGCCTGGGTCTGGGGTGCAGTTACCTGCGGCAGGACCAGGTGGGGTGCGGGGGCCGGGGCTTAATCCACCGCTGGGGAGTCTTGGTGAACAAGAGCAGCAGACGGGAGCGCCGCACAGGCTTTCCTGGTCACTTAGACTTAGGGGACCATGCCCTGTGAGCCCGTGTCACGGGGGCTGCACCTGCCCACTCGCTCAGCAGACAGGAGCTAGTTGGGCCGTGCTGTCCAAAGTGGGGGAATGGCCCTGAGTCTCGGGGGGTGGGCTCACCTGCCTTCTGCTGAGCCCCTGTACCAGCAGCAGTGACATCCCAGCATCCTGGACACGGCACACGTGCCCTCTCACAGCAGTGGAAGCGGACGGCCTGGGAGGCTGTCCCCTCCCCAGCTCCCTCGCTGACCTGTGCCGGGGGCCAGCCCTGTTACCTGGAAGGTTACCTCATGCGGACCCTTGCTCCCTAAGGACGGGTCCGCACGAGGATTTCCCAGGAGAACCATGTGTGCGTTGCTCTCTTAAGTGGCGGTCACTGTGCCTTTGCCTGGCTCCAGATGGCAATGTTTAAAACTAAGAGAGCTCTAACCATGGGTGTCACGCTGGCTGGTTTTTCTGCACTTCTTTTTCACTGAGGTATGGTTAGTGTACAGTGTGGATCAGCTCTACAACACAGCGATTCACAGTATTTAAAGGTTATGCTCCCTTTATAGTTAAGATACTGACATAATCCCTATGCTGTACAGCGTATCTTTGTAGCTTATTTATTTCATACATAGCAGTCTGTACCTCTCACACCTTCTGCAACCAGGCTGAGGGGCGTCGGTCCCCTCCCTCACACAGACATATTCAGTCATCACAAGAGCAGCTTAGGAACTCAGGTAGTTAGTGATGTCCCCTGAGGAGCACAGGAGAGCCACTTTTTCTGTGACAGAGTTTATAGCCAAATTTTCTCACTCGTGTGGGCTGTCCCTGGACACAAGCTCTAACCCCTTGTTAACTGTGGGGATTCTGGTTTCATTTTTGTACTTCAGAGGGGCAGAGGCACTCCTGACCCAAACTTGGCCTCCCTGTACACTTGAAGTGGTCTTTTCCTAAAAGCACAACGAATCACTTAGATACCTGAAGGCTCCCAGGCAACCAGTACTAATTCAGATGAACTTATTTCTTCCCTGTAGGAAGAAGACAATCATAAGGGAAATCTTCAAAGGTAAGATGGTAGACTACTGCAGTAATAACGTCTTGGCCTGAAAATTCCATCTTGTCACTGCAGTCTATTGTGACGCTTTCTTCAAAAATGACTTGGAGTAAAACTTCTGAATAGGTCACTTTTATTAATTTCATATATATGGTATTTTTAATCGTTAGCAACAAAAAAGGCCAGAGCCCTGCTGTGTTGCTGTCATGGCAAGAGCTGTGTGGGTAGAGCTGTGTATTGTGCTTAAGGGAGGGTCATGTTAAATGGGTTTAGAAAGTCCATGGAAACCCCTCTCTAAAGTCTGGAAAAACTCCCTCTTGCTATGCTATGCGACATTCCTAGGAGGATTTATTGCACTACTTCCCGGCAGTATTCCTTGAAGTAAGTGAGCAGTGGATGTTAATAATCATATATTCTAGTGACCCGTCTGCACATGGCGGGATGTGTCTGAAAAGGCACAAAGCAGCCACTGAGTTTAAAATGTACACCTGAGCGGGAAGTACAGAGCTTTCCCAGAGCACTGCACCGCGACCACACACATGCTGCTTCTTGATAGATGATGACATGTACCGTTTCTGGGCGATTCACTAGTGTCTGATCTCCTCAGCCCTGGTTTTCCTGGGAACTGTCTCCTTGCCGTTCTGCCTTTTATCAGGTTCATCCCAAACCCAGCGCTGCCTCTGGTACGTCCGTCCCTCAAGCCCTGTCTCCTCTGGGCGTCTTTGGGCAGGACAGGAGAGCCCATGGAGCTCAGGCTCCAGGGCCAAACGGCCTGGGTTCAGACCTGCTCCTGCCCTGAGTTACGTACCTGCTTTGCACAGAAGGCAGGCTTTTGTGCAGCTGATGTGGGAGGATACACATGAAACAGCACCCGGCCCAGGTGCCTCCCAACCCCACTCTTCCTTTCTGAGCAGGCCCCTCCCTGCACTGGAGCCATTGGTTATTTTTTTATCCTACTTGCTTGTGTTAATTTCAAAGGGCCACCATGCCCGTAAACAGTATCACAAGGTGCTGAGTGAGGAAAGTGCAGGCGCCCCCACCCCTTTGAACACTCTTGCTTCCAGCAGGGTCTGCTGTTCCCCCGTGCCTTCTGCTGTGCATCCTCACACGCCTGCACGTGTTTCAGGTGCATCCTGGTTGCTGCTGCTGCTGTTTGGCTTCAGTCCCTGCTAAGGTTGATGCCTTTTCTCTGTTCGTCCATAGTCTCAGTTCCACGTCATCCACCCAGGCCCTTGAGGCAGATGGTCACCTCCCAGGTGACGCTGGATTAACCCTGGGAGGAGGTTGTGTGGGAGGACCAGGCCTGTGGTCTCTGAAGCACAGTCCCAGCCCCCAGCGAACAGGGCTCTGACCAGAGGCAAGAGGACAACTCTGCTTGCCTGGAGAGCTTAAGACCTAGTGACAGATCAACCACCCTCTCTGTTCCCTCCTATTTCCAGTGCTGGTTTCCTGCCAGTCTTCTGTGATTCAGAGGGCCCCAGACAGCATGTAGAGGATGACCTTTGCCCCCAGTGGGAAATGACGAGCTGGGATGTCTGCGGGCGTCACTCGCAGCTGGGTAGTGCAGCCTCTGCTCCGGGGGTGGGCGGGGTTGGTGAGAGCATCATCTGATGGCTGAGATGGTGAGGCTGCAGATGCCACCACTCCTCTGCCCCGGGGTGGGGTGATGAGCTGCCTGAGACTCCAGCAGCACCCCTAGTCCCATCTCAGATGGTGAGGCCCCTGCACCTCACGCAGCACCTGCCAGGGCCTGTAGGAGGCTGTCAGACAGAAATATATGGAATTAGGGCACTGACATAGTGACGAACCTACGTCCCTGTGGTCCAGAATCCAGAACTGGCTGTGGCTTTAGCTCACCTACCCTGGCCCTTCCGTGGTCTTCTGCTATACAGAAACACAGGAGGAGCGAGAGCCAGGAGGCGGCTCCACTGAAAGGGAAGCGCAGAGGGGAGGGGGCACTGGGCCTGCTGCTGGGCCTGGGCAGGGCGAGAGGGATTTCTGCTGGACAGGGTATGGAAATCTTTTGCCAGCCTGCTCCAGTCTTCCACTTCCCTCCTGCCTCCGTCTTCCATTTGGCCTGCAGAGATCGTTGGGCTTTAAGCCAGAAGAGGAGGCCGATGGGTGGAAAAGACCTCTGATTACAATCATTTTGTTGGGGGTCTCTGTCCCCCACCCACCACCATTCCATTATGTGGTCCTGACCTGGGACCGTGATGTGTCCCTGACTGTAGCAGGAGCACCTGCTAAGGCCAGGAACTCAGGGAACTCCAGGAGCCTCAGGAGGGAAGGTACCCACAGCAGACGGAGAGACCAGGCCACAGCCAGGTTCCCCTCTGCCTCTGGAGCGTCCCCAGGTTGGACTAAACATCGCTGTGGGCATGGAGCCCCCCCATTCCACAGTACTGGAGGGTCAGCTGCATTGAATTCGGCCCAATCTAAGACTTCTGCAGCCATTCCAGAGCCATAGGGGGCTGTATGACAGCAGAGGGTCACCCAGGATGGAGAACATCAGGCTGCTGGAACGTCTCCTGATTGTCCAGGGAGAGAGACAGGCACTGTGCGTGTGGGCAGACATGGCTGCCCTGGGTCTCTGGCCAGCAGCTGACGCCTTCTCTTCTCCTGTCCCCTCCCCTCCCCAGAGCCGTGTCTGTGTCATCCATGTCTGAGTTCCAGCGCCTGATGGATGGCTCCCCTTTCCTGCCAGAGAAGGGGCTGCCCCCAGCAAGCAGCAAGGAGGACGTCACCCCACCCCTGTCCCCCGATGACCTCAAGTACATTGAGGAGTTCAACAATGAGAGTTGGGCCGACAGGACGGAGGCCGGCACCGAGCTCTTTCCCGACTCCTCCTGGTATCTCACCACAAGCGTCACCCTGACTACGGACACCATGACCAGCCCAGAGCACTGCCAGAAGCAGCCCCTGCGGAGCCTCGTCTGCGCCGAGCAGGCCGGGGTGAGGGTGCTGCACAGCCCGCCTACCGTCCGGAGGCTGGACAGCATAATGGCGGTAGGCGGTGAGGGCCGGGCCCGAGGCCTGGGGGACACGAAGGGGGCCCCCTCGGAACACGTACTTAGCAGGTGGCCCTGTGCCCCCTCCAGGCACCCCCGAGACTACGTGGAGGGTGGGCCCCGGCCCCTCGACAGCACCCTGGCTACCCCACTGGGTTTCTCCCCACCACTGCACAGCCTGGAGATGTCCAAGAACCTGAGTGATGACATGAAGGAGGTGGCCTTCTCCGTCAGGAACGCCGTCTGTTCTGGCCCCAGCGGGCCTCTGGTGAAGGACATGGCCTGCCAGACCAATGGGTCCCGGACAACGGGGACGCAGACCGTGCAGACCATCAGCGTCGGCCTACAGACCGAAGCCCTGCGGGGCGGCGCTGTCACCAGCAGCCCCCACAAGTGTCTCACACCCAAGGCGGGGGGTGGTGCCACGCCCGCGTCCTCGCCTTCCCGCGGCCTCAGGGGCAGGCAGGCAGCCCCGGCCATCGAGAAGGTGCAAGCCAAGTTCGAGCGCACGTGCTGCTCCCCCAAGTACGGGTCCCCCAAGCTACAGCGGAAGCCCCTCCCCAAAGCTGACCAGCCAAATCCCAGGCCCTCGACGGCGCTGGCCCAGAAGGGGTGCAGCGAGTCGGCCTGGGCCCGCTCCACCACCACACGGGAGAGCCCGGTGCACACCGCCATCAACGACGGCCTCTCCAGCCTCTTCAACATCATCGACCACGGCCCTGTGGTGCAGGACCCCTTCCAGAAAGGGATGCGGGCCTCGGCCTCCAGTCGGTCTCGTTCGGTGGAGCCCCGGCCAGAGCTGGGACCAGGCCAGGAAACCAGCCCCAGCTCCCGAGGCCGATCGCCCAGCCCCATCGCGGGCGGCGCTGAGACGTGCAGGGAGGAAGGGGGAGAGGGCACGCCAGTGAGGCAGGACCTGTCCGCTCCCCCTGGCTACACGCTCACAGAGAACGTCGCCCGGATCCTCCACAAGAAACTGCTGGAACACGCCTTAAAGGAGGAGCGGAGGCAGGCTGCCCATGGTCCCCCCAGTCTCAGCAGCGACAGCCACGCGGGAGAAACCGGCAAGGCCGAGCCGGGGTCCATCGAGGTAAGGGAGGCTGAGTGTCCTCCACCATCTGCTCATCCTTTTACGTGTCCACACACCTTAACCTGGGGCTGTACTAGGTCTTCTATAACTGGCGCCTCAGAGCTGGAGAGACACAAGGTGCAAGGGAGAATGGACACGCAGGGACACAGACCCTGAGCTGCTGCTTAAGGAGAACTTCACTTCCCTGCCGCCAGCGGGCTTGTGCGCAAGACGAGATGGAGTTCCCTTGAAGCAGCTCAGGGGTTGATTCAGGCCCTCAGCCCTGGCCTAGGTCAGTGATGTGCGTCTGTTTACCTGAGCTTTCCTCTGGGGTCACATCTGCCCTCCTTCTGTAAGGACTATGTCCCGGGAGAGTGTATGTGTGTGAGACATCAGAAAGCCAGGGGCCCGGGGCGAGGTGGGGGAACGAGGTGGACCTAGGACACCTCTCGTCAGGGCCCATAAGGGCGACATCTAGCTCCCTGAACGGCCTCCATGCACATAGCAGTCTTCTGTGTCCTTGAGTCCCCTCAGCAGTTCAACCAGGCAAGACGAGTGGATAAGGTCAGAATCTGGCCCTGGTACAAGGCAATCATCATGACCCCCTACACATCACCCCTCTAGGGCTGCCTGCAAATCAGTCCACCTTGAATTCTGCTCTGACCGTAGCCCCGTGTGGTATAATTGTACCACCCCACTTCTAAAACAATTCCCCTGTCCACTTCCAGAATAAGCAAAAACAAAGCCAGGTGACGGTGGGCAAGGGGCTGTGGAAACAGTGGTGATGCCAGCCCCACGGCTCACCCCATGTGCATTCTTGGGGGTCAGGCCTGACCCTCCAGCAGCCCAGATGGACCAGACCTCCTCCAGGCAGGGCAGCCACCAGAGGGCAGGGGTCGGCAGAAAGGAGAAGACGCCTCCCCTGGCTGCCCCACCCTCGCTCCTCACAGGCCCACTGCCCCAGCTGCACAGGGGAGGACAATGTGTCACCTGAACCACCTTCTGCCCCCCTTTCCCACAGCAGGGGAAGTAATTCTCAGCCTCCTGGTACAACTCACCACAGGTGTTTAACTCAAATAGATTGTAAACCATGTAAATTGCCAGTGACCTACAGCAAGGGCAGTGCCACGTGGTTCAACCCCACAGTGACAGTCTACGGCCTCACCTGCCAAAGATACGAGTCTTTGTGGTAGCTGTTCCGTGCTCCGAGGAGGCTGAGTGTCTTTGGGGGGCCCTTCAGGTGAGTGGTTTGCTGCTGCAGCAGCCGTCTGAGGGAGTGCCCCATCTTAGGGATCTCGAGCAGCCAGCTGGAATGAGTGTTTAGTCCCAAAGCATTAACTGGCTGGTTTGTGGTGTCCCATTTGTATTAGACACTAAATAGAAGTTAATTTTTATGGACTAGAAGTGCTTTGCGTCACCTATGGTGAATGCTCCAGGTACCCTATGATACTACAAAGGAAATGGTTTAAGGACTGGGTCACAGCGCCAAGGCATGAACACGGCTGTGCCCCACCCCTCTGTCCCCTGGAAAGCGTCTGTTTAGATCATCTCACTGGGTGAGTTTGCTACCAAAAGAGGGGATGGCCACTTTCGGAGGTGCACAGGCACAGAGTCAGGAGTCAGGGGTTCGAACCTGCGTGGAGCGTGCACTGGCTGTTTAAATGTCACAGGTGCTTTCTTCCTTTCCTGTTGGAATTCTTCCTCACCTGAACTGACTACTCTGTGCGGCTCGTTGGAGAGCCCTTCCCATCCACCCATAAATTATGTGTAGGGTTTTTGTGTCATTTCCCACTGTCCTCAGCCCTTCTGGGGAATCTGAGTGGTCACTGGGGCGTCCGGACCCGGGGACGGAGGCGTCCTGGCCAGGAGTGGGCACAGCTGCAGCGCCAACCCCCCACCCCACAAGCTCCTTAGGCTTCCGTCTGTCTTGAGGCCAGAGCCGCAGTGCGGAGGAGCCGTGAGGAGGAGGGCTGGCGTGGGGCCAGGAAGAGGTGCAGTGCTGTTTGAGGGAAAACGCACGGGGAGAGTTTAGCCTGGGTCGCAGCTGCTTGGGCACCGAGACTACAACAGTCGGCTGTTTGGAACAGCCAGGGGCAGGCGGGGCTGCACTCTGCCGTGGGGGCCCCTCTGGCTGGAGCCCCGCCTCCAGCTGGCTGTCCCCGGAGCTGACTTTAAACCTGTACTGTTGTTCTTTCTTAAAAAGTACTTCGCAACCTACTTGCTCTTCTCTCTCTGTCTGTCCCGTCCAGAACCACACTGTCTTACTAACTGCCCCCTGGGGACTCTAGCCCTGCCTGCCTCACGCCGTAAGTGCTTTCTTCCTTCTTTCCCCGCTGCGCTCGCTTGTGTAGCCCAGGGCGGCCCCTGACCCTGGAGGTGTGCCGTGGGGGCTGCCCGCGCAGTGCCGGGTCCCGCTGAGCGACGCCCCCTCCGTGCAGTTTGCAGCCAGCGCGCATCTGCAGTGATGCCCCAGAGGGGCGGCCAGGCCAGGGTCCAAGCCCAGCACCTCCCCCGGGGCGCACTGCCGCGGGCTGTGATGAGGTGTGACCGTGTCGCAACAACTACACCAGAGGGAATGAATACAAATCCATCTCGTCCTCCCCAAAGGTCACCACTGGCGACAGAGCAGTGCTCAATAAATGCGTTAACTGAATAAAGCATAAAATCAGCCCTGCTCCAAAAATTGCATAATTGCCTTCAGAACCTGACTCGAGGCCTGTAAGGAAACACCGATCTTGTTTCTTTCTGTTCAAGGATAGTCACTCGCCCACCTTATCCACTGGCCTCTCACACAGTCAGCATGTGGCCCCCAGAAGCCAGCACCGGGGCTTCTCGGGGAGAGACAGCGTCCTGGCGTCTGTGCTGGTGCACTGCTAACACAGAGCACTGTGCCCTTGGACTCAGGGTCACATAACGTTTCTTCTCCAAGGTGTTCGCACAGACACACTGAAGAGGGGACACACAACTCACAGGAAGCCCTTGTCACAGCCTCAGTCAGGTGGAAATGAGCCACAGACTTAGGTCGGCAGCCTGTACGCACACCCAGACGTGCACACACCACACACTAGTACACAACACTCACACAAGACTAGGAGGAGCGACACCCAAAGCCATGGCAGGTTCCCCGGCCACAATCGCCGGTGCACCGGGCTTGGGGGAGGTGAGGACGTTCGGTTTCAGTTCCACCTGTTCATGCTGACGCGGTGTCACAGGCTGAAGCTCTGGTTGTCATGGTGTCTGTTAGCACACGTGCTCTGCTGACGTGGCCTCCCCGCAGCTGCAGGACAAGTCATCTTGTGTCATTGCTCCCTTTCTGCTGCCTGTGGGCGGCCTCCTCCCTCCATTGCTCGCTCCGTGTCACAGGCGCTCTCTTCCATGTGTCGCTCCCCTGCTCTGCTCACCACACACTGATCTGGGTCTCTTTACATCCTGTGACTTCCTTCCTGACTGGCTCTGCGGGTCTGGTTCTGTGTCCTTACTCACGGTAGTGGTTTCCTATCTCAGCTTCTTGTTGAGCAAGTGTCATCGGGGCGGACAGCTCCACCTGGGAGAACTCACCCTGTCCTCCTGCCGCAGCCTCCAAGTCCGGGGTCCTCCGTCCTAGCGTGCAGAGCAAGGAGCAGCGGCCTTGAGAGGGGCCTGCAGGAGCCCCGCTCGGGGCTGAAGTGGGTGTCTATCCCCAGCATGTGCAGGAGCTGGCAGAGAGGCCCAGGTGCTCAGCTTCCACTCTGTAAACGCTGCTACTGGGAAGAGTGGTTAGATGAAACACCCTAAGTTAAACACTTCACGTCAGTCTGGAATGAACAGCAGCAGAGCTGGTGGCAGGGGAGTCTCGGGGCTGATGCGCCACCGGGTGAAATCTCCAGGCCCTTCATGGGCCACGGTAGTTACCTCACCGGTCCCGGAGGGCTGGGATGACGGGTCGCCTGGGTGGGAAGGTTTCCCCAGCCGTGTAGACCACTCGCCCCTCCGGCTCCCCTGGCTGCTGCAGCCCCGTGCACACGCCCATCTCATGCCACACTGTAATCGTCACCTGCCATCTCCCCTTCACTGTTGTCACTGGTCATTTGTACTGAACCCTTTGCTTACCGTTTCAATCGTTCTCCATGAGCAGCATATACATGAGCACTCGAAGGTGCAGGTGTGCTGGGCTCCTGCACTTGGGTCTGGGGCGATCAGCGCCTAGGGGACCTATCTTGAGTAACCTTGTCTTTCTCTTCCTCGGCTCTGAAGGAACTACCTTGTTCCGCACTAGCTCCGCCCCTAGAGCCCTGCTTCTCCAGGCCCGAGAGACCAGCAAACCGCCGCCCTCCGTCCCGGTGGGCCCCACACTCCCCCACTGCCTCACTGGCCCCGTCACCCGGGGACCCAACCTCCACAGAGGAGCTCGGCGACGAGGAGCCGCCCATGGAGAAGCCACACCTGTGATGCGGTTCGCATGGACCATCCGGGAAAATCCACTGTAACTTGCATAACCACCCAGTCGTCATTGTCAACCGAACTCTGCCCCAAACGGAGAGAGCTGGTTTTCCCAAGGTCAAAGAATGTTAACAAAAACAAACAAACAAAACAAACCACAGCTGCTGAATGTTCAACCTATGAACCTGAGATGTTTCTAGAATGAAACAGTAAATGTGCCTGTAAGAACTTAACTTTTTCATAGCGCAGAAAACTATTTTTGTCTCCATCTTTTTTACACACAGTATATTAAAAAAACAAGTAAATAAGATAAATTTAAAAACAAAGTTTTAAAGATGTACATTTTAAGAGATTCTGAATACCCTTGCTCACAGTACTGACTGCCTCTGTTAAATGTGCACTGTTAACATTTTGGTTTGGTTTATTTCCACATTGAATTAGGATGTTTTAAGTTAATCTTGTCAGTGTACTTGTTTTTTAAGAATTTTTGAAATGCTTCGGACCGTCTGATTCAGTGTACTTTTTGTAATGAAAACCCTGTGAGGCCAGGAGACAAGGCAGACTTCCTACATCCTGGCGGGTGGACGCAGAGGCCTCAGCTTCCGCGCTCGCCGTGTGATCCACGTGTTCCTGTCGGCCTGCATGTCCACACGCCGCCATGGCCTGTTCCACCCTGAGATGCTGACTCCCCACGTCCTGCACTTGTACCACTGTTCTCTAGTGTCCATGATACAACAGCATTTTAAATTATTGTTAAAGGATTAACTGGCAATCCAGTGTTTACTCAAATTTTCTTGTTTAAGGAAAAGCACTACACAAAGTCTTGAGGATACCAAATGGAAAGAGAGGGGGGTGCCTCCGAGTCTGTGTGAGACAATGATGAAGAAGAAATAAAGCCTGTACGAGCCGGCACCTCCTTCTGGCCCTTGTGTCTCCCGGGCTTCTGCCTCTTCCTAAGGGCTCCCATTAGTGTGGGGCAGCGGGGGGTCATGTGCCACTCTCGCACCAACTGGGAAAGCTCTGAGTGCACCCAGGCCTGGCAGGGTCTCTATGAGCGCATCCTGGGATAGATTAAAAGGCAACTTCGTGTTTTGCAGAAAAAGCCAAAATAGGTGGGCGGGGGGGGTACAGGTTATTTGCAGTCAGAATGCACCCGCCCTGGCTCCCTCTCCCCTCCTTGGAAAGTGGGAGAGCCGGTAACTTCCAGAACAGGCATTTCCAGCCCTGGACTGAGACGCGACCCAAGCTGTCAGCAGGGGACAGAGGAGGAGTCGGCGAAGGAGTGGCACTGATGAAGGGAACAGGGGAGCAATTTCAGGCCAGAGCTTCTGGCTCTAACGTTTTGTTCATAGAACAGTTTTCTTCCTATCCAGATGGGCTAATAAGTTTTAGTCCTGGTCCATCTTTAAACAGTCAACAAAAAATAGCAACCTCTGGACACTGGAGCCCTGTGTAGCTGCTGTGTAAAACAGCAAGATGGCTCCTTAAAGGTTAGTTACAGCAGGACCCAGTAACTGCACTTCTGGGTGTAGACCCAGAAGACCTGAGAGCTGGGACTTGAACAAGTATTTGTACGCCCATGTTCATAGCAGCACTATTCATGATAACCAAAAAGTGTCTGTCCCTGGATGAATGGATTAACAAAATGCAGCCTTAGAAAAGAAGGAGGTTCTGTCCCCTGCTATGGCATGGATGAACCATGAGGGCATTATGATGAGTGACACAGACCAGTCACAAAAGTAACAAATACTATATGATTCCTCTTACATAAGGGACCCAGAGTGGTCAAGTTCATAGATACAGAAGTGAAATAGTGGTTAGCAGGAGCTGAGGAGCGGAAAGAATGAGGATACTGTTTAATGGGTGCAGACTTCCAGTCTGGGAAGGTAAACAAGTTCTGGAGACACGCAGTGGTGCTGGCTGCACAACAGCGTGAATGTACTTAATGCCCCTGAACTCTGCTGAAAAATGACTCAAATGGTGAGTGTTATGTATATTTTACCACAGTAACAATTTTTAACGCAAAAAGTAAATATTCTACTTAAGCCCCCAAACATGGGTGCAAACCAACTGTCAACCAGGTGACAACATAAAGTTTCTTTCGTGCCCACCTGCCCACAGTAAACGCCAGGAGAAAGGCACGCCAGCGTTCTTCCACTTGGAAGCAACTAGGCAGCCGCAAGAAGGGACGTGGCTGGTGCTCATCCCTGGGAAAGCACCAGTGTCAAGGCGCATTACAATCCAGGCTTCAGACCACGCTGTCAGGACCTGCTCTGTCTCCACTCTGCTCTGCGTGGCCTTATCCTCAGACACGCATCCCAAGAGCTGGCAACGCTGCTCCCCCGAGGCTCTTACTAGGTTATATCCTCCAGAGAGAGGCTCTTACCAGAAGTGCCAACAGAAGCCCCAGGATTAAAGCGTCTCACCCGTCTGCTCTAAGTCATGCCACACCTCAACCCGCTCGCTGCCAGACCGGCCCGCAGAGGAAGAACAGAGGGGAGGGTGCCTGGAAGACAGTGAAGGCTGAACAGGACAGGGAGAAAACCCCTGAACTACAGGGAGAGATCCAGTCGCCCCAGAGAACTTGCTCACTGGCTGGAGAAGAAAGCCCCCGGCACAAAAACAAAACGCAAAACTGGCGTGGTCTAAGTCCCAAGCCAAGCAGGGTGTGAGCTGAACTTGGAGGAAGAGCGGGATGTAAATGCGAAAGCAGGAGAGGTGCTGGCTGGGGAGGTGGCAGTAGAGATGAGGGGACCGTCCAGAGACCAGCCTGCAGGGACAGAGCCACAGCAGCAGGACCAGTGCCCTGAAAGCGCCTGGGGACCTCTGGGACCACCCAGGCCTCTCGCCGCAGGGCGCATGTGTTCTGGAGCCTGGCTCCTGAGGAGCCGCTGGGCTTCTGCACAGGCAAGACCAGAGGCGGAGTACCCTCTGGCCGCACAGACAGTGAGGCCCCAAGTGGTGAGAGCAGCTGCTTGTCTGTTCACGGCCCCACCCGCCGCCCCTAGTGTGCAGTCTGCTTTCATGGCCTGGAGAGAGAGAGGCCGAAGCCCAGCTGACAGCCCTCACGTGCACGCCGCCGCCCCTGCCTCCGGCTCAGGGCCAAGGCCAGCCCGACAGCGCCCATCCAACTGCGGTCAGTCTGGGCGAGAGTGGCCACGAGACACCTTTCCACCTTTCCTTTTTCCTCCTGATGAGCAGGCAACCTTGTTACATTAAGGTTTTCAATATCATGTGTCTGTTTAAAAAGTATATCTGTGCATGTCATTATTCAAATTCTCTTCAGTACCTCTGTTTCACTCACTTTTTTAGTTAAGCTTGCCAGAGTTATGCACACTTTTCTTCAAAAATAGCTGAGATGTACAACTACCATTTTCTAACGTGTTGATTTTTTTTCACATTGTGGTGAAGGATACATGACCTAAAATTGAGCACTGTGACGAGTACCACTCAGGGGCACTTGGTGCATTCACAGAGCTGCGCAAGCACCCGCGCTGTCTGATCCCAGAATGTCTTCATCACCCTACAAGGAAATGAGCCTTGAGCAGTCCCTCCCCCAGCCCCTGGCACCCTTGGATCTGTTCTCTGTCTCTGTGTTTTTGCCTACTTGGGACATTTCATATAAGTGGAATCACACAAGATGTGGACTTTGGCTTCTTTCATTTTGCATGGTGTTTTCAAGGTTCACCCACACTGCAGCCCGTGTCTGCACTTCCCTTTCAGAGTTGAGTAATAGTCCACATTTTGTTTACTATTTATTTTTAAAACAAAAGAAAATGCTTTACCTTAAACAGCCCTGACCACAATGTGCACTGGAAGCCAGTATAGCAGGAGATCAGGCTGAGTCATAAGCAAGTTGGGTGTGTGAGCGAATGTGACGACACTGGCTCTTTTGAACACACTGGTTCGCTCCACTTAGAGGAGACATCTGAATCTGAATCCTGATTTGAACACTTAGAATAACACAACCTTGGCCCATCTACTTAAGATGCATCTGAAAAACAGCAACAGTGACACCTACTTCCCAGGCATGTGCTTACTGTGCGCACAACACTATGCCAAGAGCAGAAGACACCAACTGTCAGCCAGAAATGAACAGAAAAGACGGGCTCCCTGCTCTCACAGAGCGCGTGTTCTGGTGGTAAGAATGGCACGGTGGGCAGGGCTGAGCGTGGTGGGGAGAAATGAAAGCCTCCCCAGGGGAGACAGCTAAGTGAGGCCTGGACGGGAGCAGCTGTCAGCTGGGCAGAGGGCGTGGCTGGTGCAGTCAGGACGAGGAGGTGGGCCTGAGCCCTTGTGTTCCTGGAAGCGAAAGACGCCACTGTGGCCTGGGCGGGGGAAGAGGACCAGGGAGCCTGGGGGCGCCTCGTGGGGCACAGGAGAGTCTGAATTTTATGCAAGGCTGGGGAGGTGGTCCATTGAAAGATACTAAGCAAGAGAGTGACTTTTTAGAAGACCAGTGTGATGTAAGGACGAGAAGGGCAAGACTGGGAGGCTTCCCGACAAAGGCTGTTGATCAGAGAAGCCTCGTGCCATCAAGCTGGCCACGAGCCACACCACAAGGGCCAGGCTTTAGGACCGTAGCTGAGGATTCTGTGTGCCCCGCTGCCAGATGCCAGAATCTACTGCAGCTGTTGAGATAAAGGCTGAACGAAGTCCTTGCGTATTCTACTGCTGCCTCTCAGGCTGAGCCAGCAGCCTGGGCAGTGGCTGTGGGCCAAGAAGAACCAGTCCCCTCTCTCAGCCCCCTTCCCTTCAGGGCACGAAACCACACAGCAAGCCTCTCATTCCTGTTCTGTTTGTTTTAAAGGTCCAATCCTTCTCCAAAAGGAAGCTGGGACTTCTAAGCTACTGTCAGTCATCTGTAACTTAGTGACAGTGGGTTCCTGCTCTGTAAGGTTGTCTATAGGGGGGCAGCTGAGGACTCTGGGTGTGGGGAGGGCAGGGGCACGGAAAGGCAGTTACAGGGGCTACACAATGTGAGACAAAAGAATGGGATGGTGAAGGGGACAGCTCGGTGGTAGAGCATGTGCTCATCATGCACGCAGTCCTGGGTTCAGTCCCCAGTGCCTCCACTAAAAAGACACAAAGACGACCACGACTGGGATAGGAACACAGAGAGAGCCGACTTTGTTTCCTCCAGGCCCAGTTCTATTAGACTGAATGAACCCAGCCCACTTCAAAGACAGGAGCTTCTGTAATTTCCCGGTGAGCTAATGAACTTCAGCAGCACTCCAGGCATCCAAACCTCACGGTCCCCACAGGATCCTGGAATCAGTTCACTCATCAACTCCAGCCTCCTCTGTACATATCATTTTAACTGATTAAAATAAAAACAAAGCACTGAAGATACTCTGATGAGACAGGTACACCTAAAAACAGCTGGTGGAATTATAAATTCTAAACTCCAAACTTCTGGAGAATGACTAAGCAGTAAGCCATTATCTATAAAAACTGTTCACACGGAGTCATTTCCCTCAGGGGAATTTACCAAGTAACTCCAATGAAGTCACTGTAATGTGTACAATGTACAATTGTTCATAACAGCACGACTCATACAGCAAAATCAGGGAACAGGCTAAACAAGTTGTGGTCCATCCACAGGATCTAGTGATCCTTCACCCAGAAAACAGTCCCACTGACCAGGGCCTGGACAGACCTGTGGGGACACAAACATAAATGTGACGCATCTGCCCCCACAAGGCTCATCACTGGGTCCAGGGTATCCAACTACCGGGGCTCAAATCCCGCCCCACCACCTTCTGAGCGAACGCCCCCAGGAAGGTGCCCGGTGCCCTCCTAGTCTCAGCTTTCTCCTACGCAAAGTGAAAGTGTGACAGCAATCAGCTAGCAGGTGAGTGACGAGATCAGGTACGCTAGCACCTGTCAAGCACTTGAATAGTGCCGGCACG